GTTCAAGAACATCAGTGTGAGATCCTCCATGGCTAATTAGCCAAGTGGATGCCACATACAGGACAAGTATGATGTGATGTTTCCTTATGATACTCTTCCCACCTCCTGTTTGCCCCCCTTACTGTATGAGATGCTCTGAACACTACTAAAGTGCCCTGTGAGGTGTAAATGACCTTCGACACAAAGCTTTCTCATTCCTGTGCATCCTCCAGGCTCATGGGCGGCCTCTCACTGAAGAAAACAGCAAAATCACATCCTACAACTGTATGACAGCTTTTAGTGCCTGTCTGGAGACAAGCTGGGGCAGACTGTATGTAGGAATAAACACTTTCCCCCAGATCTTCACAGTTTTTCTCCTCCTGTATAAGCCAAGCTTTGCTTTGATTGCCGTGAATATTCATGGAAATTCACAGGAATGCTGAAAGGAGCACCAGGTCCAGGGAATAGTGTTTCCTTCAATGACTGAGCCTCATCAATGCCAAGGGAAATGGGTGCAGCTATTCTGAACACAGTACTAGCAGTTGTGGATAACCATTACTAAGAAGTGGTTTAGGTCAGGGGGTGAAGGAGCAATCAGCGGGACCAAAACCAGAGAAAAAAACCAATAATGTAACCAAACAGACACTGTGGGATACTGGTCACATCCTCTGGGCTCCCTGTCTGATGGTCTTCACAGCACTCATATCCAAAAAGTGGGAGAGCCAAAAAGCCAGCTTTGGGTTGTGACCAGGAGGTCAAGTAGAAGGTGTTGAGTTCCACAAGCAGAGAGGCAAATACCTCTAACATTGGAACCTGCCACCTTTCCATGTCCATCACCTGTTCCCAGCCTTGGCAGGTTAAAACTGAATTAGTATAGAAGCAGCAAAATGTTTCTTTTCATCCAGATCAGTCCTGTCCAAACACACCTGCCAAGAAAAAAGCCTGTGTGCCTTCCCAGGTGAGGTATGACTGTCTGTGGGTGGAAAACACAGGTGGCAAAACTAAACACAAGCCCTGCAGGATTGGTACTGGTGCACTGAGATAACTGAGTGCCAAGGGAACCTGAAACTAATACCAGCCAAGCAGAAAATATCATGCTCTGAAGCATCATCCCAGAAGAGATTTTGTTATATTCTGTAGAAGAATAGCAGCTAAAACCCAGGCTGTGCTACCCAGTGCTTGTTTGGAGAGAGCATATGAGGTGCTTGGTACTTGTAATGATGAAGACACAAAATTCCTTTTAAAATGAGGGAAAAGAAGATTCTGTCATCCAGAAGATGCTGCTCTTGCCAGTCCTCAGCTCCAACACACGGAAGTGTTAATATAAAATTTCATATCATGGCTTTGGCAGGGTAGAAAATTGAGAGAGATTTTCCACATTCATGCCACTAAAAAGATTTTTTGCTAGTCTGGATGAAGAGATATTCCTTTAAATAAATGATTGTTCCTGAAAGTCTCTCTGTACTAACTGGAAATGGTCTGTGAGCTAGCTGTGAAGTGTCAAGAAGCATGTCCCTTACTATGGGCAGTGGTTGCACCAGCCTCCTTATAGGAGAAACTTCCCTGAAAGCCTATTTGGCTCTGACATTGTCTGCATAAATCTTTCCAAGAGGAAGTTTTCCAGCTTCTCTTCCAAAAACTTCTCGGTCTTAAAAGACAACGATGAAACAACATGCCAATGCCTGGTCTTGGCTAAGACACAAATGCCTGTGCTGATACTACTGTGCCTACAGAAACTTGTCCTTATTTAAAAGGGTAAACCTATCAAACAAACCCTATGCATGAGAGAATAAATCTTATAAGCCTGAAACTAGCTTAATAAAAGAACACAAGAAATGCCATCACCGGAGTTGCACCCCATTTTCCCACAGGAAGCACCACACGAGCGCAGGATCAGCCTCTCCACAGCCTCTGCAGAATAACATCCAGACACAGAGCAAGTTACATTGTGCTTCAAAGGAATCTGATTCTACCCATCTGGGACACTCACATCCCCACAAAAAATGAAGTCAGATTGGACTGTCTTTTGAGGGAGAATGCTATAAACTAAAGGACTGTAACTCTCTTTCTTCTGTAGATCCAAAGCTTACACTTGCTACCTGGAGCTAGTGCTGTATGACCTGGCATAAAAATGAAGTCATTTTCATGGTCCCCGCTTTCCTAAATGTAGTCTTTCATCTTAAAAGATGATCTATTTTCTTTGTTCCTAACTACAAGTCTTACTTGCCTTCACTGAAGAAAACACTTCGAATAAACCCACTTCAAGCAGTTCCAATCACTTTGTTTAACTGACTTTTCTACCATTTTTTCTCTCATATGTAGATAAAATGGGGATTTTTTCACACTAACAGATTAGAACAGATTAGAGAAGTAGGATAAAAAAATAGTGAAAACTCCACAAACCCTGCTAAGAAAACTATTTCTAGTATTTTCCCCCTAATAGTTTTAGGAATATCCTTTTTGTGGTCACACAAACACAAACACAAAAAAGCTTCCTATTAAGAACAGAATGTACAATTTTATGTGAATAACCCCACGGCACAACCATTTATTTGGCTTGAGCTGTAGGGGAGTGCAATTACACTTGAAAACACTCAGGCTGAAATCCTTGACAGAGTTAAAGTGAATTAATTTGCCTCACCAGAGGTAGTGCTATATGTTGAAGAGAAATGGCAGAAACGACCTGATGGGTAATAGAAGGTGGAGGGAAGAAAAGGAAGAATTTAAAATTAAAACTCAGTTGTGCAGTAGCCACAAAAGGACCTATAAAACATGTGCAGGCAAATATAACAGATGCAGCAACACAAGGCTCCTGCCATGTCCTGGCAGGCATAACTCCAGGTGTAGGTCTGCAAGAGAAGGCATTAATCAGGTGGATAATTTCTGCAGCGAGTACTGGGGATGGAAACAAGCAACAGCTCTGCACCAGATGAGTTCTAACTGAACTTTCAGAAGGTATTATTCCCACAAGGAACAGCCTGTTGTCCCTGCTGTCTCCTGTGCCCCACCACCCCTGCAGAGACCATGCAGTGCAGAGCTGTGGGTCAGGGTTTCATGCTGCCTTTCCCTCTGAGCAGACATGCCCAGACTGTGGGATTTGATGTTAGTCTGCTGCAGCAACACAAGAAAAGTGTCTGGGGATGTGTGTGTTTGGGAAATACACCCCCACAGCTAAATCTGCTGGATTTTGTCAGTCGGAGCTCAAAACCTGTCTCCAAGCAGAGTTTTTTAAGTCTCCAAGCACTATTTCCCAAATCAAAATCAAAGAAGAAATCAGACCAAGTCTCTGCAGTTGGTTCACGTCCCTGGGAATTACTGTTCTTTATCTAAATAAGATTGAACTATTACCATGAAGTTTCAGAAAGAAAATATTAGAGACCACAGGCTGGTGTGTGCTAGCACTATGAAAAATGAGAAGCTCATTAATTCCAGGCACTGTATTAATTTCAAACCCATCATACAGCCCCGATTTTACAAACAGGTGCACTAATGCAGATCTGAACAGCACAGAGATTATCAATTCTCCTCATACACAGAGAACAGAAAGACAGAAACACAAGACACAACTGGTGAAGGACTGCAAAACATAGTGCTCAGGTCCACTCTGATGATAAAGACAAGTGACAGAACAAACACACATTTAGTTCAATACAAAACACATTTTGCCAAGGACTGCACTTAATTTGATTGTTCTGACTAAAGGAAAACAAAATATCAATAGCAGAGCGAATTGAAAAAGCGTAATCAAATACTACTACCATGATCTTTAGGGTACTTAGATATCTAAAGTATGAAAAGCCCTCTAAAATATAACACTAAAAAAGAAACCTCAATAACGTAGGAAGAATGAAAAAAACCCAACAAAACCTCAAACAAACATACTTTATGCCTCGGATGAGAGTGTTCTCTAAAAGTAAAACAGTCAAAATCAATGGTGAATGAAAAAAAAACAAAACCCAAACACTATTTTTGGAGAGCTGTTTAAATTTAATTTCTTGTTCTAGTAAATATAAAAATAGGAAACTATAAAAAACCCTTACTCTGTAGAAATTACCATAATTTAAAAAAGCTAGTCCAAAGCACAACCTCTATGAAGAACTTATTGCTTCGAAATGCACTTCTAAGAGTTGTAATCAAATCTGGGATTTGAATATTCCTGAACTGGGTGGTCAGAGGGTTTGAGATCCGTTGAGAGCTATTCTTTGATGCACGTCTCTCCTTAAAAGGATTTTTCAAAAGCTTAGGTCCAATCTTAGGCTCTGGTCTTGAGTTTTTAGGAGTCTGTTACTGGTACCACCATTAAACTCCTCAGGGCTGTGGTTTCTAAGCTGATCTGGGGACATCTCTTCTGTGAAAGATGAAGATTGCAATTTTTTTGACTGCACACTGTTTAGCAGTCTGTTCACACTAATGTGTCTATGGATGAACACCTCCTTCAGAAGATAACAACATTCCACAAATTGAAAAGCTGACTGAGGAATAATGTTGTAATGCAAAGTCTAATTCAGTGTGATGGGTTAATGCATTTTTAAATGTATTTTCTTAACTAAAAAAAAAAAAAAAAAAAAAGGGCAGAAATTTGTTTCCACTAAGTCAGGAAATATTTAGATATTTTCAGGAACTAACATACCCGTGGTATTTGTGCTAAAGATGTGCCTAGTTCATTGTTAATATTGTCCCAGTGGCAAAGAATCACTCCCAAGTGTTGTGCAGCACTATTTTGCCAGACAAAAGGAAGCATTTCACATTTCTTCTTCCACTGCACTGCTGGTTTTGTAACTTCCACACGTTTTAGCCAGTCTATAAAAATGAACATCTTAAAAACCTTTTGCATAGGTATAAATGCTGCAACCCACACTGAATATATGAGTGAGGAACATAAAAGTGCTTCACTGTGAGTCACAATATTTAATGTGTTAAGACTGTTTTCAACAGCAAACCCCAAAATTCTTCTGAAGGTTCCCGCAGCAGTTTGCCAAGACAGACACCACTGTTTTGCTAAAACATTGTCAAATACTTACTGTGAAGGTACTGAGCAATGTTTATTATCCACTCCTCTGTTAACTTCCCAGCTTTGGTTATCTTGGAACACTTCAGCTGACTTGAGAGATCCCTTGATTCAATCCAACAAACTGTGTCCTCTCTGTAGCTGTAGTCCGATGTCAGTACTGCAGATCCTTTTACAGGGGTTCGTGCAGACAATTTGCTTCCATTAAGATATAAAACCTCAATTGTTTCAGAGCTTGCAACCAGAAGAAGAGGAGGTCTATCAGCAGGCTCTAAAAACAAAGTGAAGAGAGTTGAAAGGATTAACAGGCTGTCTGCACCATATTCATCTTTTGAATTTTAATGTAGTGTTTAATGTTCTTACCTGCTTGTTGTAAGACATGCAATAAATTGGTTTTGTTTTTATTTTCATAACTATCATATATTCTAAATTACTAGTCCATTTTTTCCTGCTGTTCTAATGGTTCACATCATTAAATAAAATTAATTACCCTAGCCCCACAGCTTCTGTTTAATTCCAAGTATCATTATTGCAACATTTTTCATGCCTAAATCATAAAATGAAATACAATTTATGCAAATTATTTTTATCCAGATTACTGAAATTTTTAAAAGAATGAAGACCAGGAAAACCTGCAGAACTCATGAGTACACAGGAAATGGTAAGGTTCTTTTCATATTAGAGTCTGTAAAATAAGACATAAACTGAGGAGTGGATGCTGCTAAAAGATCTTAAACCCAACAACAACAACAAAAAATACTAATGCAGTGAAACCTGGCTACAGCATAGAGATGATGGGCCTACAACCATCCTTTATAAAGGAGAAAAAATTATGCAGTGGAGATTCCTGACAGGGAAAAGAGAGTGTCTCATTTCCACTGGGTTACTATTACTGTTGTGATAAACAAAGACAAAATATGAAGCAGTGATTCAAATTAGGATATTACATGCAACTGAAAGTGCTGTCACAATCATCTGAATCACTTTGCCTAGAAACCATGCCAGTAATTTATCAAAATACTTGAGTAATGTGTGAAAAATGAAGGAAATAATAATACCCTAATAGTGAAGATTATATATCTTAAAATACACAATGTTCCAGTTCAAGTTAAAACTTTAAAAAGTTACGTTATCCACAGAGAGGAACAAATAACTCTCATTGAGATACACTATATTTAGCATTATCTTGAGTGCTACTAGGCACAAAAACAGCTGTTCTTGCTTTACTCCATTGATTATTCAGGGCTGGTTTCAAAATTTTCATCTGACTTAGTCAACTGCAAATAAATATAAGTCTCTGAACGATGGGGAGTCTGCTACACGTGGTGCCACTGCTGATATGGAATAACATCTTGTTCTAGACTTGAACTAGTACTTTAAACTGAAACAAAGTCCCAGTTAATCCAGAACTGTCAGAGGGACATCTATGTCAAAAACCTGTCCCAGCAGTTTCCCTTTTTTTTTTTTTTTTTTTTTCCTGGGAAGAATCCCTTTGTTTACAACAGTGGGGTAACATTGCTTTGCTTTAATTTATAATGAAGAACTGCTGTTGATCATGTGAATTGGCTGGAAAAAACTCCATCCAACAGATGTATATATTTAAGATAGAGTATAGGGAAACTGCTTTCTAAAAAATCCCATTCCTATGAGATGTTGCTCAGTGTCCAGAGTCCTTCTCCAACTGAGATTGAGCTGATGCAGGACATTATGAGATATTCTCTGAGAGAGGAAGATACAACAATCCTAAAAATCATCTCAGGTTTCTTGGAATTACAGTGACATCTAATTTTGCAATGATTTACGTTCATGAGAATCACTTAATTGTCCTTTGCAACGTTTGCAACACCACAACAATGTGTCTATTAACCCCGTTCTTCTGCCACAGTAAATAATGTCATCAAGTGGGCAAACTTTTGGATGTTGGATTTAAAAACAATTACCCTAAAACAGATACTCTCACTGCAGTTTGAAGCACATTTGAAAAATATTGGTGTTGCCAAGTCAAGAGCTCTCACCCCAGTGTAATCTGCTTGTATTCAGAGGGACGTTTGAACGCTGCATTGACATGGAGCACTTTCAATCAACATTCTACCTAAATCAAAATTTCAGTATGCAATTCCAGCTGTCTAAATGGTGAAAAAAATTGCATAAATAAAAGGTTTCAACAAATAATACTTCATCAGGAGGTCTGATTAAAGAGAAAAAATGCTTCAGTGAATGCAGTGCTCAGTGGTCTCACTCAAACCCACAGCAGTAGGTGTTAAATTCTGTTCTTTGGTACTATTAGCTTTTATTTAAAAATCTTGTTTGCTCATAATATTTTTTTTTATTTTTTTTCACATAAAAAACTTCTTTTGTATAAGGGATCAACATGTATTCTTTCTAAAGTTAATTACATTTGGTCTTTTCTTATTCCTTCCCATTTCATAATGCATATTCTAACTTGTAACACATTTAGTCCCTCTCCAGTAAATCCCACACTGAGACCTGCAAAACCACACTTTTGTGTCATTCCTTTTGGGACTTTCTATCTGTCCTCATCATCCTCACATTCACTTCCAACAACCCATGAGTCAGATCCACACGAGATTTTTTTTTAATTTTTTTTTTTTTTTTTTTTTTTTAAATTTCAGAAGATATCGAACAACATCAGGGATTTAACTGCTTTGTGAAACAATCCCTTGCGGTGTAAGCCAGGAGTGAAGCCCCCTAGTCTTGTTTTTTTTTGTTTGTTGTTTTTTTTTTTCCAAAAGAGAAGGCAGTGTGGTTCTTGTTAAGCAATTTTCTTTGAAATCTGCCAGGTAGGTACATTTGCAGTCAGTCTAAATCTCTCTTCCTCCCTTTTCTTATCATCTTTTGCTACCCATCAGAAGAGAGCCAGACTTAAGAGCTTCTGTTCCTGTCACCCACACACCCCAACTTTCCAGACGGGTACAAAAGGTGTCTTTCCATCTGCATCCCGCTGAGTTAGGGGTTTTATTTTTACATCTGACAGCTCTGTGCTCAGCTTCTCTCTTCTCACAAAATAATACCACTGCTTAATTCTGGTTTGAATCACTCTTTTCCCAACTACCAAGAGTGTGAAAAAACCTTTATTATTATTTTTGCTCTTATACTTTGTGCTAAATCGGATATTTCCACTCTGCAATCTATAAAGCCTCAAAGAAACCACAGCGGTTTGAGGCTGAAGGAGAGAATCATATCTTTTCTTGCACTGTTTTGAACTGACCTGTTGAAAACTGTTAACGAGGATTTAATACCTTACCAAACTCCAGAGAAAGGTTGTATTTTAATATTAATGTCTAAGACATAAGAGAATTCTTAATAAGAATTAGCTTCAAATCTCTCAAGCAACTACTGTAATCAAACCTGGCTGCAAACAAAGGCATGGTAAGGACTCGCGGCACTGCCAAGAGGTTCTGCTCAGCAGGCACTATTACACATTAAAAATTCAGAAACTAGATTACTGAGTTTGAAATCATAATTTTAAAGCAGAACTACATGAAATAATTCAATGGATTGTATCAAATAATCATGGGTTTTCACAGTAGAGTAGGTAACCTGCTTCTTTTAGTGTTGCTCAGATAAGGGCTGATTTCATATTTATTTATATATATATATAAAATATATATGTGTATATATATATATGTATATATATATATACAAAAAATATTAAAAGTTCCTGCAGAAATTTTTAAATTAACTTACTGCATAGCATAGTGCTGATGAAAAACAAAAAAGGAGATAATAAAGAAATCATGTATTCTCCCTCACAAAAGCTGCTTGTTTGTTCCTCAAGAACAGAAGCTGAAAAGTTGAATGGACAGATCTGGGATGAGTTACAGTGAGCTGGCAGCAGCTTTTCAAATAAGTGGACTTCATGTGTGTTATTTTTTCCCAATTTTTTTTTTTTTTTTTTTTTTTTCATTTTATGGGCAAGATAAGAAGTGAGTGGCTCTTTAATCCAGGGAAGTTTTATGATTCATCCTTCTTGATTAAAATGAAAGCATTTTCCTTTGAATTATGTTTAAGATAGAGTAGTGGAAAAGATGAAAGACTTGCATTTCCCTCCTCCCTGATCTTGTCTAAAATACAGATCAATAAGTGATGCCACAACAAATCAGAAATGAAGGTGTTTTGCACTACCAACAGACCTACTTCTCTGGAAGAAAAGCCTCAGAAATGCCAGCAAGTTGGTTTTTTTTCACACCACAATGATAGGAAAAGGATAAAATCCAGAATTCAGTGTTGACAAGCAGCTTAAACTCCCTTCTGCTGGGGTGTGCACTGTAAATCATAAGTACTTTGCTCCCACCAACAAATAAATGGTATTAAAATCTGAAATAATATTGAGCAGTGTTGAATTAAATGCAGGCCAATTTTGTTTTGACATTATTTTTGATGTTTAGCCATAATGTGCCCCACAAATGGGCTGCTTTATTTCTAAAGCCTCAAGACTTAATTCTGTGAGATCATACAAGAAAACTGTGTTGTCAAATCAGTTTAAAAGCACTGAATTTTTTCTAAATACCCTGAAAAAAAGTTTCATTTAGTCATTTTCAGTTCATCCTGCTGTATCTCCATGACAAACATTTTTCACCACATGGTATTTTTTTCTACATAGGTTTTGGAGACATAAAGCATACCATGAACTTTTGGAAAACAGATGAATTTTATTTCCTCAGCTAAAGCTTCCCAATTCTGTCATTTGCTTTCCTTAAATACTCTTCTCATCACATGCAGACCTTGCAATATAGGCATAAAAACTTGGTAAACACAGAAGTTCTAAAACTCTGTTCAGCAAAGCAGCATTTTTTTTCATTTGCACCTTAGAAGAAGTCATTAACTGCTTCTTTATTCATAAAAGAAAACGTGGTTAAAAAGTCTGTAAAAAACCACAGTGTGCTCCCAGCTGTTTTGATACCTATTTTACATCCTTCCCCAAAGGGACTGTGCAGCTAAAAGCTTCTGGCTCCAAAGGTATTTAATTGTGCTGAGGAAAAAAATGCAGAATTTAATGAGGGAGAAACCTCACCACCTTCAGAGGCGAGCATGTGTCTGCCTGAAGGGCAGGAAAAAGCAGTTTTTGAGAACTTTGCTAATTGTACCGTAGCACATGTGGAGAGCTGGTTGGGTGGGGATGGGCTCTGAGGCCACCACACTATCCCCTGACCCAGAACAGGGCTCCTCCAGACCCAAACAAGTGTCACCTGCTCAGCACCTTCTCTAACTGGGGCCTCCAGCACCTCCTCCACCTCACTGCTCATAAATATTCTCCATCTGCAGAGGCAAAGGGTTGATGGTTTGGTGTTTGGGATTCTGTCGTGTGTAGGATCTCCATGAGGATGGCAATTTTCATTCTTAGCAGATCTGCTGTCATTAACAGTGAAAATTTTCCACACCTACACCTCTAGTGCTGCTTCTTGTCTTTCACAGCTTTTACACAGAGTGGAATATTCCTCGGCTCATTTTCTTCATTTGTTTGACAACTACTTTTGCCAAAAGTAGACAAAGCAGGGAACTTGCTCTTTCCACCCTTATTTTCTTTAGGTTGTTTAAGGAAAAAAGTTGATAATTTTTCTAAGTGCTGGGTTGTTGTTTTTTTTTCCTTAGACACATTTTTTTTCCTGGATTCTGTTCTACTGATCCAAAGTTGCCCTGTCTGATGCCCCTCAGTCGGCATCATATCCCAGATGAAGCAATAATCCTGACCTAACCTTAACCTTACTTATACACATCTTTCCCTCTGTGCAATGAGGTGCTATGGATTAATTTTTGACCTGTGATGTTTGGATTTTACATACTTTTCCCCAATCTATTTGTGCAGGGCCATGCTGCATCTTTGTCCCTGCTCAAACCTCATCCTATAGGAGAGAAACTTGTGAAAATTAGTTTGTATGACCAGGGAAATTATGACTGTAGCAGGGAGGGTATAGGAAAGTGATGTGCATCTGGAAAATTCACCAATTTCCACCCTGTAAGTTGGGCCCAGTGATGCAACACAAACTACTTCAAGATCTTGCATAACTGTGCAATAAAAGCACCTTCATTACTCAACCAGGTTTCTTTATAACTTTTGTGTCCTATGAAATATTTGACCAAAATATAAATCATATTGATAATTTAATCCATCATTAATTCAAGGAAAAGTTGTGTTTACACACACATACACACAAAAATAATGTAACGAGCAACACTCATGTCTGTACAACACAATGATCTTGGCTAGTATTGTCCTGCAGAGATTTCTCATGAGTGGTGATTTCTTTCTGAAAATAACAGAAAAGGTGAAAACTAGGGAAAAATAAGCATGATGAAGTAGTAAAAAGTACAGAGGGGTCCTCTGTTAATCTAATTCTTTTCATCAAGTTGGTTCACTGTAGTGAACCAATAGTTCACTACAACGCTCAGTTGTTACCCAACTTTATGGGTCTAAGAAGGGAAACTCCATATGGCTCATCTCAAGCATCATGAGGTTTTCCTGATCTAAAATTACATTTTGAATTTTCATGTAGTGGAGAAAGATGAATATTAAAGTATGTTTACATTGTAATAATACTTTGTAAGAGGACTTTCTTATCTCGCTTATCCACTTCACTGTGGACTTTTTTTAAAAAATGCTCAGCTATATTGTGTGGATCAAAACAGTACAAACAGTAAAATACTCTGTAACTCTCAGTGGTGCTCAGCCAAAACATATTTAGTAATGCTTTTTAGGTGACCAAACCTTAAAAAAGCCCAGTAGTCCTTCCTATTTTCTGGTGGCAAAATAGCTACAAAAATGAAGACTCAAAAATGTATAAAAAACATGGCTTAAACTTGGGGCCTGAAGCATTGTGGATGTTGAATAATTCCTTAAGGAACTTTTTGGGGTTTTTAATATAAAAGCATTGTTAATTCAATATGCTGAATAAGAAAACACTGTGTAAAATACTGCCTCGTTAAACACAATTGACTAATTTCCTTGGATTCCCAATTTGCTATAACTAATGAAAACATGCACTAAGCAACAAAAAGCCTTGTGTGAATATGTATATCATGAAATTCACCTCTTGGGATAATGCAAGGACAAAGCAATCTCATGTCTTTTTTTTTTATCCTAAGGGTACAATTACCTCATGATCATTTCCCCTGTCTCCATTGTCTTCCCAGAGTAAACAGCCTTTATTGTTTGTGTGAGGAAAATCTTTGATTTATTTATGAACAGGGAAACTGGGAACTCTTCTAATCTTGGCTGAATTGAGTATTTCACTTTAATTAATAATAAACAGATAATAACTTCTAATATTGCCCTTGGAGTATTGTCTTAATAGGTGAAAAGTTTTTCCAAGGTTGTTGTGTGGCTCTTTTGTAGCAGAGTGAAGGAAACTCCATCTCGCCTGTGTTCATTTTGTCTTTTCACATGAATCCTCCAGACTGGATCAAACCACAAAATATCTTCAGTAAGGTAAAAAGATGTTAAAACTTACTATTTTTGGCCTTGCAGGACTTGTTATCAGGCTGAAGTACATAACCCTCCACACAGCTGCAAGTGTATGATCCTTCAGTATTTACACATGTCTGGCTACAGCTTCCATATGTGTTGCATTCATTCATATCTAAAAGGACATTAACAACATCTTGTTAAGGGATTAGGAAAAAAAGAAATTCAATAAAATTCAGAATTCTAAGAGAGACATTTAAGTCATCAAGTAATTATGGTGTGATGCTTCATCTTTTCCCCTTCTCAAAATATGATTTTATCATGGATGTTGGCTGTTGAAATTACTCCAGTAACCAAACAAAAGGGTAGGAGTTTTCCAGTTTAATAGCTCTTAATTTTGAAAGATAAAACCTTCATTATTTCAAGTAGTATCCAAAGTCTCCATCACGTTAGGGAGACGTTTGGGTCCTTGTTAGTACTAGAGACCACTGCTTATCAGGGTTGATGAATGAAGCAACATTTCAAGAGAGGAAATAATTGATTATCATTCTCAATCTGTTTTTGCTGGCAATGTCTTATAGTTCCCTAAATGAACTGTCACCACTTCTACATTACGTTATCAACCACTACATCAAAAACTATATATTTCTCTCATAAATATAAAGAACAATTTTCTCAACTAGGGTATACAGGCATAATACCATAAAATCAAGATATGCTATTTAACAGTGGTTGAGAATTTAAGTAATAAATTGACATTCTAAAAAACTGCAGCTGAAATTATTTCCCGAGATATATTTTTAATCACAAAACATGACAACCATAGAGTGCAAGAACTTATAATAAATTACATTTATGAAGAATCTGGCTTAGTACTGTTTGTTGGAGAGAGGTGTGATTGGTAGTGAGCACATACATAAGGCAATAGGACTTTTAATAATATGATTATTAAAAGAGAAAAAAATAAAACAGGAAACAAATACCTGGATGGAGAATTAACAAGCCATATATTTCGAAAATATATATCGAAAAGAACACCAGTTTCAGTCTACAATTAATTACACCAAAGTAACGTTCCCAGCTAAGTTGTGTGACCTTGGGAGTGTTCATTTATCAAATTCTAATCTAGGTGTGACTTTATGGGCGTGAGGTGAAACATGTTTTACAAGTTTTACAGACCCTCCTGGTAGTGAGGTCTGGAAAGAGAGCAGCTCACACAGAGGCGCTGTAGCTTGTCAGCCACGGGAATGCTCCCCACCTCCTGCAGCCTGGCTGGGGATGCTTCCTGACAGTAACTTCAGAAGAGCTGGGGCACAGGAGCATCAAAGACCCAGGAGGGAGGCTCTGACTCCCATTTTGGGGGCACTCTTTCCCAATCCCTGCCCCACAAGCCCACACTCATTCATGACTAACACCCTTGAAGAAGGGTGAGGAAGCAGCTGTGCTGCCCTTGGGCAGAGCTGTGTGGCAGGAGGGCCTACCCCAATAAGACCTAAAATCTGATCAGGGAATGCAACCAGTGCAAGCCATCACACAGCACAGGGAATGCAA